CGCTTAGGGTCACAACTGGAGATGTGCTTTTCTCCTCATTTATTCCGTCATCCATCTGAGATGGTTCCGGGTTGATGTCTTCAAACTGCTCCTCGTTAGCTGCCAATGGCTGTTGGTCTGCCTGACTGCAGACATTAGTGATGACAAAATTGAAAGCTGGTTCACTGTGTGCGTGGGGTTGAGACTCGGCCTCGCTTGGCATTTGTGATTCTTCTGGCAACTCCGTCTGATTTTGTTGTCTTTCTTGATCAGGCTTTGACTGTTGGGCCATGTCTGCCGGCTCTCCTGAATATATTTCCGATTCGCTTGGTGTTTCAAGAACTGCTTGTTCCTCCAATGCGGTTCTTGCTGTTTCCTGTGGTTCTACTGTTTGCATTTCTGGTCGAGGTTGCTCTTCCTGTGCCTGTGTCTCCATTGGCATGTCCTCGGGCTCCGGAACCGAATCCGTTGCTATTTCCGGCTGCGGCTTCGGTGGCATTATGGACTCATTTTCCGTTTCTGGACCCGGGCTTTTAACCGCATCCTGCTCATCTAACGGTTGTAGCTCTATCTCACGATAAATGCGTTCCTCTCGGTCTTCGTACGTGTCCATGTTCTCGTCGGCTTCATCGGCAGACGAGGCGCTACCATCGTCATAATCCCCATCGACGTTTTCGTCATCTGCACTATCCTCACTCTCGTGCAAACCATTGTAATGCGTGTTGTCAGCTTCACTGCCATTGATATTGACATCTGAGATATGCAAGTCCTTCTCCTGCTTAATAATCACATTACTTAAGTCCAGACTGTTTATATATGCCGACTCGTCGTCTCTGCTATCATTGTGGTTTATCTCATTGGATTTGTTTGGCTCATGTTGTTCTGCTTCCGTTTCATTTTGGCCGGTCCACTCCTGCTCCTCATCCGCATAGCCACGATTCAGTGGTTCCGGTTTGATAGCAACTGTATTGAAAGGCACCGAGGCGCCACTTTCTACTGCCACGATTTGTGGTAACTGCTCTACTGTGGATGGCAGTGAATTCGACGAAGATGCAACATCCCGGTGCATGGCGCCTCCGGTGCTTTTACGTGCCGTAGATTTTGTTAAAATCTTCTTGGTGGGATTTGCTGGCTTCTCCACGACATGGTCCTCTTGGGGCACTGCTTCCACGGCGCTCTCTAGTGGCATTGCCTCCTCTGCCATTACCACGCCGCTAGCTATATGAGTTATTTGCATTATGCGATCGAGTTCCAATCGATTAGGCTTGACATCTTCTTGCTCTTCGAGTAACTTTTGGCTTTCCTCGGTATAGTTACGCTCAAGCTGTAGCATTGGTATACTCGTCATGACCGTAGATTGTGGCTCAAATTCTTCTCGTGGCGTAAAATCACTTGCAAGGCTGTCATCCAAAAGTTCCTGCTTTATATTCATAATAGCACTACCTGCAGTCTCTACGCTTTCCTCGATTGGAGATTCCTCAGGAGCTGTGGCCGATCCCGTTGCTTTATCGCTAGCCTCCGAATCCCTATTGCGCTCCTTATGCTTTCGTTTCTTTTTCTTTTTAGCGCTCTTAGACTGCACCTCGTTGTCATCATCCACGATAGATGAATTGAGCTGCCCATGATTTTTGGTTATTTTTAGCTTCAGCTTAAGTGGCTCTTGTTTGACTTGCACACCATCCGTGCTGGGCATTAGCTGCTTCTCGTAGGATTCATCAATGACTTCCTGCTTCACTGACTCAGCTGGCGGATCAGCTGGGGGAGCAGCTGCTGCATTGGCACTGCCATTGGCTGCATCCTCGTCGCTGTCATCGTAGCCAGCATCTGCATGGAAATCATCACAAGAAGGCGGCTCATCATTTGGGTCGCTCTCAGGCTCTTCAGAGGCTAGAGGTGGTCCAGTGTCATCGATGTGCACCTCGGGCTCGTGCTTAATGCTAACAAGCGTATTCATTGTATTTTTAAGCAACTGATCGACGCGTTTCAAATAATTTTTGGATGACACCCGGTCAGCGCTACGACCCGCGGATGAAGCGCGTAATAGTGGTGATCCCAAGCGTTCGAGCACAACCACTGGCTGCATTTCAACTTGCTTTGTGTATGCGATGGACGATTGAGCATTGTCTTCGGCTTCCAAATCGTTTTCGTTCTTGATACGCATCTCGGCTTCATGGTTAGATGCCTCAGGCATTATGTGCTTGGAGTGATTCAAGTAAATCTTTGCACAGTGTGGTGCATGGCGCATATAGGCCAATTCACTGCTGAGCGGCCGGCTGCACCCACCACATTGGCGCGTGCGCCGAGCACAGGGATGTGTATTGTAAAAGAAATTCGTTAGAAACGTTTTCTTGCACAGTGGACACTCGCGATCGAGCACCTGCAGCTCGATGGGCGTGGGTGATGTATGCTCGCGCAGATGACGAGAGTAGGCATAGTTGTTTGCTATGCTTGCGTCGCACAGTGGGCACTGGTAAGGTGTCTTAGAGAGCTTGTGCCACAGCTGATGAGCTTTGATATCGCTAAGACTGTGATAACTCTGATTGCAGGCGGTACAATGATAGCGCAATATTGTGGGTATATGTGCTGCTGTCTTATGCTGCTCGGCCAGCTCCTTGCTCTCGAAACGTTTACTGCACACACTGCAAATGGCCTTACGAGACTTCTTGGCGGGTATTGAACACTTTTTCACCTCAGCAGGCTCCTCCTTTCTGTATTTCAAATAATTAGTATATTAGCATTCTTTTATTTTACCAATGCACTTACATTTCAGTTTTGCTCGCAGTCAACGGCTGTGGCTGTGGCTGCAAGCGCAGCTTTTTCCGCCAGCTTAGTGGCTCATTTTTGACAGCATCCAAAGGGATATCAGGGGTATTTGATTTCACGTTATTGCTGCTACTGGCGGCGTCCTCCGTTTTACGTTTACGCCCGCGCTTTGCAGGTGGGGGTGCTGTTAACGGCTCACTTTTAAATATCGGCTTCACATCTACAATCTGTGAATGGAATATGCTTTGTAAATACCTCAAGTCGTTTATGATTTAATGCTGATGCTTACCTTTTGGGGATCCACGCTTTTAAGGCCCAGTAGCTTTCGAGTTTGATTGTTTGTTGCGTAGCACATTTCTCTAAACTCATAAAAATCATTGATTTTATCCACGCACAGGCTGCACATTGTCTGCGGCATTTTATCGTTGCGCGTAACCTGTAAATAAGGGTTTTTTTTTTACCAGATCACATATTTTCAGTAAATGGGTAGATAATTTTACCGTAAAGCCAACCAATTCGAAAACTTTTTGGCTCAGACTGGGCTCGTCCAGGTCCACAACATCACTCTCAACGGGTAGTATTGGGACCTTGGTCGGATTATCGATGCCGCACAAGCGACAGATCTTGTACAAGTTTGCTTTGAGAGCCGCATCAATCTTGAAAGCGAAGCGCTCCATATTGTTTCTGCTATTTAATTTCTTGCTGCAAAAATTATATCCCTACATATTTGTAGTTGAACTTGCTGCAAAAGTGTTCACTTTTTTGTTTATTGCCCACAGAAACTAGTGTGCCCAATCATTAAGTACGAATTATAAACGGGCACACTTGTCAGGGCTACAGCGTATAAGGAGAAAAATATTAAATTGTTCCACTGACCAGAGAACACATAGACTAGACATGTAGAAAAAACTTTTTCAACACCGAAAAAATGCGCTGAAGAGACCGGACAACTTCGTATTTGGTCGGCTCGGTCGTTGGAGGCTCAAGCAGTGAAAATAAGGCAAGACAAAATCAGTGCGCTGCCAAAATTACTGATTAAGTCATAAAGGCTCATTTGACAGTCACTCTGCAATTCAAATCATACAAAATTGAGAAACTACTGAATCACGAGACAATTATCATCCCATCCCGCAATGCTGCCAACATTTTGTTGCATGAAAACGCTAAATCAGCCTTTGAAAAAAGCTAGAAATATTTCTTCGTAGCTAAAAAAATCGTTAGAATATATATATGTTTTTTGGTTTATTTCAATATTTTATAAGATTTGTGTGATTTGGTGATTTGTAATCGTGGCAGCATTTGGAGGCGTGGTCCGTTTCTTGCTTGTCCACTTTGTCCTATGGAGCTTTAAAAGATTGGTATCCTGAAACTTTTCTTTGCATAGCTATTCTAAATGGTCCACAGGTTTGATTGAACAATGTGTTGCAATATACAAACACAGACCCGCTTCTTGATCGCAAGTTTTCAATGAGATTGAAGAATCAAATGGTAGTTTGTTAGGCTGTGCGAAAGCCGCTAAAGTTGACTTGTGTTTAGCAGTCTTGGCATGTGCGTGCAAGTCTGAAAGCTTAACATTAATGCTGGATTTGCAGTATTTGCAATAACATTTGCCCTCATCAGCTGCATCTAAAGTCAACCAATCTTTAAATGCAGGATCTTGCATCCATATCATACGCGGTTTTCGCTTATAAATTTTTGGCATTATTAACAACTTGTTACTCGCGTTTTAAAACTTTTGAAATTCCCTCTTAGCGATGGCATAAAACACGCTTCGGTAGACTTCACAGCATCGATAAGATTGAATGGTCATTTGGCTTATCGATGTGTTTTGCCATTCAAACGAAAAAATACTATTCGTATGAAAATGTGGCATCATTAAGCATAAAAATACACTAGTTACCAGATGTTTCAAAGACATAAAGTAAAGCAAGTTTTTCTTGAAAAATAGCTATAGTTCCAGCTAGCCACTAGTTCACAATTTATCCCGCATTTCCCTATTGCAACCCACTAGATCTAGTGGGAAAATAGCTAAATTGGCTCAAGTTGAGCCTCAAACGACCGAGCCGACCAAATACGAAATTGTCCGGTCTCTTCAGCGCATTTTTTTCGGTGTTCAAAAAGTTTGTTCTACATGTCTAGTCTATGTGTTCTCTGGTTAGTGTCTCTGGTTAGTGATTGGAGTGATGAACAAAATACTGAAAAATACTACAAAAGTTTGGTCACACGTAAAGTCATGTGACGGCACGTGACGTCACAATAAGTTTTACACAGCCTGACCAGTGTCAGAGTGATTTTTCTTCGTACTTGCAACGACGTCGCAGGCCAAAATTTTGCGTGTGGGTCGCAGTATTATTTAAAACGGAAAAATTGTATGTTGAAACGCCAACGTTAATTGAAATAAAATCAGAAAATTTGATCGTTTAATGGAATCTAATTGAAACCGTTTGTTTTGTTTTGTTTGCAGCTCGAAATTTGCTGTGCACTTTTCAAGGTAGAGGCAATCGCGTATAACAAAAAATTCATTTCGCAAAATGAACGCCCAACAAGCACAACGGGAGCATGTCCTTGCTGTTTCCCGGGACTTCATCTCCCAGCCACGTTTGAGTGAGTATCCAATTGCTATCAAATTATGTGCGGCTTGTGAATTGTGTATTTAAAAATTGTATTATTGCCGTAACCCGTGGGTAATCGGCCGCCATGACAGTTTGTACGAATCGTTTGCAAAAGCAGAACACGAAACAAAAAATCAATATAGTGTTTTTGGCAACGTTATTACTCCCACCCATTCAAGTGAATTCACTAAATGTATCATACTCAATAGTCTGTACATAACAGGACTTGAATGTATGCCAATAAGAACTAAAAATTCATTTTTAATGAAAATTTTCAGTGTCACATGACTCGATCATCAAGCTCAGCTGTTTGCTATTGCCATTCAAAGCGCGCTCCCAGAGAGCACCTGACTAACAAAAGTTGGGCAAGCGAAGAGTAAAAAGAGAAACAAACTGTTGAAAAATGATAAAACCAATGTAAAAGTAGACTTCTGGTACATATTAGTACATAAACTAATCTTATAAAATGGCCAAGAATTATCATGTATAATGCTAACTTGTTTTCAGTGGAGTTGTTTTTATGTAACGAACTTTTTGAATTACATTTCACGCATTCTTCCATTGTCGTATTTTATGTCAATTATGCAGCTCGTGCTTCAAATAGCAGCTGCTTAAAGCCAGTTTGAGAGTCAGCTGACTATTTAACCCCGTAACACTCACTACGAATTTTCGACGTTTGCTTTCTTATCGGATTCTTATTGGCAACCACTTGTGCATTCATGTGAAGAGCGCTATTTTAACCTAAAATAATTGTTAATATGAAAAAATAGTTAAAATGAANAGATGTAATTTTCTACTTTTTATTGTATTTATAAATAAATAAATAAATTTATGAATAAAACGATAGTTACCTTACATATTTATTTGAATCGTATATATTTTACTAATTATAAACTTCATTCATGCATAAAATATAAACAAGCAAGCAAGCTATTAACAACATTCTACATGCCGATATTTCAAACAGTCATAATCAGGGTCAGGGCTGTCAAATGTTTATGTAAATCGTAAGCTATATGGAATTTATTGATATAAAGGTGGTGTATCATTACGTAGAATGTTCTTTTTAAAAATGATTTAATAATGCATTTAGTAATAATTAGATTAGTGCTACAAATAATTTCAACTTGATTAGGATTCGATGTTTTACAGTGACCGGTCACAGATTTACCGATACCGATACCGATTTACTCTACTCAGTCGAAAATTTTTACTATACACAGCCCACCAGATCTGCAAAGTGGCAACAGATAAAGCGGATTGTGCACATATATTAACAACATGGAGCACTATCTGAGCCGACGAGAGAGCTGTTGGCAGCAACAGCATAGGCACACGGGTGTTGAGAATATGCTGATGCGCCGCATTTACAGCTCAATGGGCATGTTCAACAGTTACCATTCCAATTGCAATCCAGGCACGGCCGGACAGGACACTGGTGCCATATACAATCTGGAGTTCAATGCTGATGGCAACATGGTTGTTGCGGCCACTGAGCGCAAGTGCGTCCTCGTTTTTGACGCCATCACTCAAAAGGAAATCTTCAAAATTCCCGATGCTCACTCAGACAGTGTTAATTGCATTAAGTGAGCATTGATGGGTATAATTTTTATTGCTTATTAAATCAAATATTATTTTGTAGATTTTTCGATGATCGTTTGTTCGCCACAGGCTCCGATGACTTTACAGTGGCCTTGTGGGACCTGCGCAACATGAAACAAAAGATGCGTGTACTTCATGGTCATTCGAATTGGGTGAAAAACATAGAGTACTCGTCCAAGGATAAGCTGCTTGTTACCTCTGGTTTTGATGGCAGCATATTTACGTGGGACATTAAGTCACAGACTGAGCAAGGCTTGATCTCTCAGCGTGTTTTCCATGCCAGTGGGCTAATGCGTTGTCGAATTTCACCTGCCGGAGATAAGTTGGTTTTGTGCACCAGCAGTGGTTACATTATGATTGTGCACCATTTGGATCTGACGACATTACACAAGGACCTGTGTGGATTCCGGGTAAATTGGCATTCATTTCAATATCTTCAGGTAGCCTAATATGTTTCCCACCATAGCCTGGCATCTACAGACTGATGCAGCTGGGCGATCAGTACATACCACAGGCTGCGAAATATGATCATGTCTTTTCGAAGTACCAGAAGAAGAATCGTGTGGAATTAGTGACAGATTTTCCAGAGCAAAACGATGCGGAGATGATAATGGCGCTACAGATACATCCACAGTGCCGCTGCATGCTGACCAGGAATGTTAGCTGCGATGAACAGAGTGAATGGACTTGCATCCATGATATCAACGAGGAGCCAGAACTGATTGATGACGACAGTAATGATGAGGACGAGCCCTTGACCAAGAAGAAGCGCACACTATCGGCCCAACCGACTGAAACAGAGCAAGAAGACCCACCACAGCGTGGTGCACAAGGTCGGTCTCATGTGCGCCGAATATTTTACCCGCGTAGAGTGAACGGCACAATGTCACTGGTCAGTGCGCGCTCCGATAGCTTTATACCGGACATCTGGGCGGCTGAAGTAACAGTGCAGGAGAGAGCTATACGCCAAAGTCGAGCACGAAACTCTGCCAATCATGTCAGCGGCTACAACTTTGTTTACGCCATCAGTAGCGGGGTTCTGCCACTGCGCTACTCCTCGGCCGCTCGTTTTCTGGGCGGTGCTGCACGCACACGTGCTGCCCTGGGTGGAGATCAGAGTACACAGACAGAACCTACTGCTGCAACCTCAGAGACAGCCGGTAGTCGGAGCAGTAGCACCAGTGGCAGCGGCGCTACTGCTAGTGCTAGTGGGAGTAGTAATACCAATAATGAAACCACCGTCGGCGCAGAACTTGGCGCAGGTTTGCGCATGCGCCCGCTCAGCAACATCTCAGCTGCAGCTGTGGCAACGGCAGGCGAGAATGCTGCACATACCATATTAGTGAATGCTAAGAAACTGCTATACTATGCCTCCGAGACAAACAATAAGCCAGGCTTCATCAAGGAGCCGGGATTTTCGGCGGATGGCCGAGTCATATGTTCGCCTTATGCCAATGGCGTGCGGCTGCTCGGCTATCAGGCAGACTGCAGTGACTATCCCAGTCAAGTGATGCTGGAACAGGTGAAGCATAGTCCACGGCAACTAGTGGAGTTGGCCAACATTGTTGAACACCAGGATGTGGTGCTTTGTGCCAAGTTCAGTCCACGCGAGCCACTTCTAGTAACTGGATGCAATAGTGGCGAAGTGGCTTGGTATCGGCCATGTCTCTAGATGACAAAAGTAATTTGTAAACTGTAAATTTTTTTTATTAGCTCTAGACACGTTTCCTAATTTCTCGAGTAACAACAACAACAATGTAATTGCCAATAAATTTTAATATCGGGCGATTACAGAGAACCGATTAAATTAATATCCATAATAGTATAGTCTATGCATGTTTCTGTGTTTGTGTTTATATTTGTATTTGTATTGGTTGTGGATGTGTGTCTGTTGCACACAATATTCACATATGAATTTAAGCGCTCACGTATATTCTACATATTTATAAGTATGTATTTTAAGAAACAATTATAAAATTACAAATATCTTTACATTAGACTTTAACGAGGCTAACTCTGGCGCCACCACCCATTGCTGGTGTGATAGGGGGAACGCGACTGGGCGAAATAATGCCTGTTTCAGTAATAGTTACCATAACCACTCCACTGGCCATAACTGTAGCCAGCACCGCCGGTACTAGCACCACCACCTCCCCCAGAGCTGTAGCCGCCCCATTGATTGTAGTAGGAGTCGTACGATTGCTGCTGTTGCTGTGGCGGATAGGCCCCACCGCTCTGCTGAGCATAGTAGGCGCTTGAATTGACTGAGTTGTAATTGTAATTGGCATTGCCTGCCGCCGATCCACCATTGTTGTAGGTACTCGGTGCGGCAGATGAGCCGCTGGAGGCAGCGGCGTTGTCCTTGGTGCTAGTAGAATTCTTGCGACTTGGACTTGCGTCATTGCTGGGGAGGCAAAGAAAAACAAGAGTTAGTTTTATATCAGTTAAGTTCAGTTCCGTTTGACTTTACCTTTTCTTTTGCGCCTCGTTGGCCTTGCTAAGAGCAAGTTGCAGCGCTCGTTGCGCATCCTGCAGACCCTTGGCAGTGCTGCCAAAGTCCTCTAGAAACTCAACCTTTCGCTGCGCAAAGAGCACCTTCTGGTCTGGCTCAATGTCAGCGCGTGCCATAAACTTATCCATAATCTGGACGATCTCCTGCTCCACAACCTGCGGTCGCTGCAAGCACAAGTCAATCATTTGTAGGGCAACACGAGTATTGGCCGGATCTCGTTCTAGAATCTTCTGTAGTACGGCCAGGCCACCGTCCAGATCATTGCAGATCTTGTTGAGAAATCGAGCGTATTTAATGGCCAAGCTGCCGGCAATTGCCTTGTTTTTGCTGTGCTCGATGTAATGTTCGTACAGCTCGCGGCATCGGTCCAGAGCGCCGCGACGTCGCTCGACATTGATGCGACGATAGGCAACTTGCAAGAGATTGGGGCAACGCTGTTCTAGGCGTTCCAGCACTTCGGCGGCGCCATCAAAGTTCTGCTGGCACTCCTCAAAAGCGGCCCACATTAAATGCAGACTAGGCTTCTCCGGATGATGGATGCGACAGGCACGTCGATAGACGTCACGTGTAATGTCCACTATATTTTGGCTTTGGTCATTCAGCGACTCCAGATAGCGCAGCATCTTCAGCCAGAATTCATCATACAAAGCGCAGGCAATAAGACAACGTTCGAAGAGCACCAGAATGCGTTCCCGATCACCCTTCTCGATCTCAAAGTCAAGGTAGTCCTTCCAGTTTTTCAGCTGAGCTCTTTCCAATGGCTTCACATGGAAATATGGTCGCTTTATGCCCTCCTCGAAGGACCAGCGTGCCGTAACCGCACTAACAGTCAACTTGTGCAGCTTGCGTCGCGCTGATATTGCTCTTTCCTTAATGGCCGCTATCTCCTCCTCGGTGAGCGTGCTGAGATCGCTAAAATCAATGTGCGCTGTCTTCGATGTCGCCGTCGCGGATGATGGCTCACTTGTGGATAGATCGGTGTTATTTGCTGATTCGTCAGCCATAGTTTCACTACTCTCTTTCGGTGACTTTCCGCCAGAGACATCTTTGTGCTTCTCATCGCGTTCCCGGTCGCGATCACGCTCACTCTTAGCATCCTTTGAGCTGGAGCTGTCACGACGACTTTTGGATGACGATTTGGACGACTTGCTTTGCTGGCGTTCGTGCCAATCTCTGCGCAAGCGAACCAACTCCTCGTTGCTAATCGTGGAGGTTATTGCTTGTTGATGAATAACATCTTGAAAACTGCAAGAGGAAGACATTTCAAAATCCAATCTAAGTTGGGAAATCAATTTTCACTCACTTGTCAAAGTGACCGTTGTAGCCCTGGGTAGGTATCGCAAGGAGACGATCGTATATCTGAACTACGCGGTGATAGCGCTTTGATTCATTCTCCCAACGTATGTAGGCATCCCAGAGCTTGTCTGAGCGAAACTCTAGGCCGCACGCCTGCACAGCCCTCTCGTATTGACTGCGAATGAATTGCTCCTCGTCACCATGATGCGACTTAATGTGCATCAGATAATGTATCCAAAGATCAACAGATAAGGGGATGGCTTCCAGACCGCGCTCAAATACCTACGTGTTTTTCGATTTGATTTTTTTGTTTTTTTTTTGTTTACAGAATTTTTTTGAATCGATTTCACATTTTTGATTGTTGAACGTAGAGAAGAAATAGAAATGTTTACAAAGATTTGAAAAAGACTTTAGCAATTTCCATACTTAGCACTTAGAAGACTAACTAACTCGGGCTGTTGTGTCTGTTGTAATTTTTGGTTTTTGTTGGTGGTGTCTCGGTGTCTTAGAAGTTAGCTTATGGTTCTTAAGTAGCTTAATTTGAAATACATAGAAACATACATAAGTAAGATAGACACACACACACAGATAAAGTAACACGATTCTAAATTGTATATATATAGTAATATTATATTAATGTTTTTTGCACATATAGACTTAAAAATTTCATTTAAACGCCATTTGTACTTACGGCTTCACGAGAAAACGTGTTGTAGGAGTCGAAGGAGTTGTATGGTGATAACGACAACGAAAACGTGCGAAGTAGAGCAGAGAGTTGATAAACGAACGGTTGACCAACTAGTCGAATTCGTGGGTCAGTTGTGATATATTTGTGGTTTGGTTTTTATTATACACTGAGCCCATTGAAAATGAGAAATCAGTGTATAACGGTTTCTTTTTAGTACAACGTAATGTTGCGGAATATACAACAAAAAGATTCTGTTGCAATTGAAGAACAACAATAACTGTGTCCGATAATTGAACGTGTTGTGAAAAGACAATTGTGAGCCTCTCTTTATCTAAAGTAACAGCTAATTAAACACATAAAATACGACATATTAAAGCACATAGACTGAGAAAAGGGGCGGCAAGCGAGATCCCAGGTCAACGATTGAGAAATCTAGGGATTAGAAAAAGCTGAATCTGAACAGATTTTCTTTAAGTTAAAATAATATTTGCTTGTGTAAGCAAATCAAATCAATCCAAAATTAAACATCAAGTTCAGAATGTATGTGAATGTAGAGTTTTGTATTGAGAAAATATTTTGGAAAATTTAGCTCAGACACGAAAATATTAAATACCAAATAATAGATATTCAGCTATCACTTAGAGCAGGGGACATGCAATATCAGAAATAAAAAGTCCTTGTATTGAATTTGTACTGCAAGAGCACGTATAACAAAGGATTAATCAATCGAGACCTTGTGCTACGCTGAAACTGACGCTGACCGCTGACTAAAAGTGTGTGGATCAGTTGGATTCTATATACATAAATATTTATATATACTGTTTCTGTAATTTAGTTTGTTCTGTTTTTTGGTAATCGTTGCTTTTATTGAATGTAGATTTTTTATTCAGTTATAATAAATTGCATTATAACAACACATGTAATATCAATTGTAATTGTAATATTAAGCATAAAACAAAGAATGGCAAAGTTTGTTTAATTGCATAAAAATGTGTTGGGTACTCACCTTATAGCAGTTGGCCTTGATGCCTTTGCGCTTCTCATAGTCCGCATACTTTCGCCAATAGCCATAACAGTAGGGGTAATGCGACAGGAATGTGTCGTAGGCTTCGCGGGCCGCCTCAGCATCCGACTAAATTAATGAATCGAATTACAAATTTATCCATTGGTTTTATCTGATTATACTCACCTCGCTATCTACGTATTGCAGCAAATATGTCCAGCCTGTGAAGTCCGATGGATCGTCTTTGACAACTCGCCAGTATTTGTCGAGATCCGGCAATTTTTTGCGCTCCTTCTCTTTATCTTTCTCCTTGTCTTTTTCCTTCTCCTTCTCTTTGTCTTTGTCACGCTCCTTATCCCTCTTTTGGCTGTCTTTTTCCTTGTCCTTGTCCTTGTCTTTGTGCTCGGTATCTATCGGAAAATATTTAAAGATTTTAATGTGTCCTTTTCTTGAAAATCGTAACCCACCTTCATCAACCCTAGGGCGCTTTTCTAGAGGTGGTGCATCGTTACTCTCTGTTGTTGGACTGCAGGGATTATATTGCTCCGGGTGCTTGCCTTTAGAACTCGCTTCACTGCTGCTCTGTTGCTCGTCATCAGCATCTTCTGCCCTTGTTGCATTCGAGTCCTTGCTAGCCTTTCGTTTCCCACTATGCTTCGATTCGTTATTGTTATTCGTAGGCAACTCATCCTCGGAAATGACTTCAGCATCAGCCGGCAACTCTGCGCGCTGTGGTGCTGGCAACTCCTCATCGGATACCTCTTCGGCATCATTAATTTCTGGCTTACTTGGTGGCGGCAACTCGTCTTCTGAGATGATTTCAGTATTTACAATAGTCGCATTGCTAGTGTCCATTTCGTGGTCAACTTCATCGCCTAAGCTCTCTGCTATCGCTTGATGTGAGATGGAATCCTCGGATGAGCTGAGTTTACTCTCAAGTGGCTGTAGTGCGTCTGAAGTTGATTCAAAGTTTGCTTTTTTGGCGTTCGTCTCATTTTCGTCATTTCCGCCAACAGAAGGTAAACTGTTGGCATTGTCGCCAGCCAAGGAAGCTAACAACGATGTGTCTACACCTTCTTCGGTTCGACTCTCTTTAACCTCATCACTGGTCTCAGAATGCTGTTCGGTGACGGCTCCAAAAGGAAATGACGAACTCTTCTCATCCACGCCGCCAGTCGTTTCAGCTGTGACTAACATATCCACATCGTCGTCTAGACTTTGCTGCAGTTGCGCAAGCTCATCGTATTGAATATCGTCAATGGCAGCAGCTGCTTCTGCTACAGCATGCTCTTCCTCTTTCGGATGCACCATAGTTGGTTGATTATTAACCTCGTTTTCCTCTTCTTGATCACTTAACTGGCAGAGTAGAAATAAATATATATAATAAAAATACATCTTGTAGATTTTAGACCTCTTAATTAATTCTTTTCCCTACTTCTCAATTGTTTTGCATAATCAGTTGGCCCTTGCAGAAAAATCACCTGGAAGCCATCATTTACGAATGGAACAACGCCACATCCGCATGAAGATGCATGTTTTTCATCATATGCAAACCGCAAGAGAGAGAGAGAGTACGTGTCTATGTTTGAGTGAGGTTGTTTGAGATACTGACCTGCGCTTGCCGCTTGGATGTTCGACGCGTAGCTCGTGTTGGCGCTGCTGCTGGTGCAGCCACAGGTCGACCCGAACGCGTTCGCCTTGCTGCAATGTGTACAAGAAATTAAAACTCCGTTTATGATAAATTGAGCGCGTGAGTGTACATAAAACTGCACATATGTGTGTGTAAGTAGGGCTCTTTTCACAATGTGGTGGGTTTTTACGTATGCGCCGCGTGATGTTCACGTTTTTGCCAGATAGAATATGCTTTATTACAGCCTAAATAATTAATATGCTCGCAAAATAAGTTAAAGGCAATGTAATTAATATTCCAGAGCGCACTACAATCACATAAGTTACATGCTTTTTGGCATTATATACCTGAATTTTCTATTATAACGTTATCGTTTTGCTCAGACGCCATTTTTGTATTTGTGGCACACGCTGTGTGGTCACACTATTACAAAACTGGTCACAACAACAGTGAGACTGTAGTGATTTAGAGAAAAATTCTCGACACTTTATATAATAGCCGGTTATCGATAAGTGACGTTTGTGCAACCCTTAGCCGCAGCACAGGCGTCGCGTCTTGCAACACTGTTTGTCAAAATGGCGACTTGAGAATTCATAGCGTGACAAAAACAAAGCGCAATTCACAATATTTTTGGTATTTTTGTGCAATAATTAAGTGTTTTATCGTGCAAAACTTACCGAAATGTACAAATTAACAGTGCTGTGACTGTGAACTATAAATCAGTTAATGAAATTGACCAACGTCAGCGTCAAAAATAAAGAAACGCCGACCGCATAACCTTTACGTGTCGCAGTTGCGAATGGAGTGTAAAGGCAAATCAAAGAGAATGAATGAAGAGGCGCCAAGCAAAAAATTGCCGCCTAAAATATATGGCGGTGACTATGTGCCTAATGCAAGCACACCCACTAAAGCGGCCCACGATGAGATTCTCAGCTCACTGCTACGTATTAATAATTTTGACTCCATATCGAGCATTAAGGACGAGTCTCTGGACATTGATCTGTCCGCTTGTGTGACAATTAGTTCGGCGAGTTTCATCAACGGCAATAGCCTCTCCTCAACGGACTTTTGGCGCGTACTCGATGAAAGCGCTCAAAACAACACGGAGCTCAATTTGGCCGCGGATGTGTGTCGCGACGATTTGGTTGCTCCCACTCCCAGTCCCAGTGCAAGTCCCAGCGCGGTGAACGTGGCGAACCTTTCGAATGGCAGTGCTAATGATAACACCAATTCAGAATTTAATGTTACTTTCTTGAGGCCGGAGCCACCAAATGCGTTTACCAATTCTCCGTTTAAAAAGGTATCAACGACTCCAGTGAAGTTACCGTCACCTGAACAAATCCATATGCAGGCGGGCCAGACACCGCGAAAGGTCCGATTGCCAGCAGCCACAGCGGTGCGCCTGAAGGTATTCAAGGAAGAGCCCGTGGAGGAGAAACCGGCGCCGTCGGAGACCACAAAATCCCCGTTGCAGACCAAAGTGGAGATCTGTGAGGCAGAACTCACGCCGCATACGTTTACCATATTCCAGCAACAACAGCAACAGCAACAGGAGGAACCGAACGGAGAAATGCCACCACCAGCAGCTCCGCTAGATAACAGTGCAAAATTGGAGCTGGAAGCTATGCCACAGCCCCTCTACAAGTGCCTGGACTGCAATAGTTTGGTTTTGGACAGTCCGCAACTGGTGAACGCCCATAAGGCAGCCGCTCATAGTCTACGCATTACATACAATTGTGCCGAGTGTCAGCGGGAGTTTGAACTGTTGGCCGGTCTCAAGAAGCACTTGAAGACGCACCGCAGCGAGGGCCGAAAGGATACATGGAAGAAGTGCCCCGACTGTGGCAAATGGTAAGAGATATATAGGGGAAATTTAAATTGAAATTGAAATTTAAGCATATCCTATTTTACAGCTTAAAACTGGGAAGCATGTGGATGCATCGCAAGATTCATAGCGACAATAAGAAGTACCAGTGCGATATCTGTGGGCAGAAATTTGTGCAGAAAATCAATTTGACGCATCATGCCCGCATCCACTCCTCGGAGAAGCCGTACGAATGTCCGGAATGCCAGAAACGATTTCAGGAGCGTTCGCATTTACAGCGTCATCAGAAATATCATGCTCAGACGCGCTCTTATCGCTGTGAGAAATGTGGCAAAATGTACAAAACCGAACGCTGCCTGAAGGTGCACAATCTGGTGCACTTGGAGCAGCGTCCGTTTGCCTGCACCGTGTGCGACAAGAGCTTCATCAGCAACTCGAAGCTGAAACAACACTCGAACATTCATACGGGCATGCGTCCCTTTAAGTGCAACTATTGTACACGTGATTTCACCAACTTTCCTAACTGGCTAAAGCATACGCGACGTCGCCATAAAGTCGACCACAAGACTGGAGAACATCTTGAGAACATTCCCTCCTACTGTTCAAAGAAGTCGACAACAACTAAGGCACAGAAAGCGGCAGCAGCAGCAGCGGCAGCTGCCGCCGCCGCCACCACCACAACTGCTGCAGCAGCAACAACAGCCACAGAGGAGCCACAGGTCGGAGCTGATGCAGATGCGCAGCAGCCCAGCAGAGAGCCAGCCAAGCCGACAGTTAGTAATGCACCAGCGCCAGCGGCAAAGCAGACACGCAAAAAGAAACAGCCACAGCAAGCTACATTGGCCGCCTTGGGCATCACATTGCCCGCAGGCACTGCATTGCAGCAGGTGCATCCGCTGCCCGTACGAAAAGTGACGAATGCTGCTGCTGGTGTCGCAGCGGCACCACAATCAACACCATCACCAGCGCTGCCGACGTCGCAGTCCACTGCTTTGCCCACCAAGCAACTGAAGACTAAGCGGGAACGCAAGCAATTGACTCCCAAGCAGTTGCAACAAAAGCCAGCTTCAGGCGCTACATTATCTGTTGCCGTGCCGCAGATTAAAAAGGAACCGCTGCAAATTCAGAGTCCATATCTAGATCTGAACGGCCTGAGCCTGACATCAGCCGAGGATCTGATCATGGAGCAGGCGTTGGAGATGGAGGAGAGCGGGATGTTTGTTCCAACCGTAGTTAGTACCGATATTGGCACCTCCGACAATGCCATTTCCTCCGAGGCAGCCGCCGCCCTGCACTTTCAAGTTAAAAACGAAATACCCGATGAACTGTTAGCTGACGAAGATTTCTGTAAGTCCATTGCGTCACTCACTATTCACGAGCAATATATTAATGTAATTCTCTTGTGTTCTTACAGTGCCTCATAAGCCCGTCAATGGCAATCGATTGGCCTGTCCCTCGCTTGAATCATCACCGTTCTCTTCGCCCGCGTCCATGGAACTGGCAGTTGTTTCCTCCTGCAACACCGCCAGCTCGACAACGACGCAAGTGAGCACAGGTCGTACCGCCAACTACTATTTGCCTGCCTTTACGTTAAATGCTCAGGGCAAGCTGACCAGTTGCACGAGCACTGGAGCGGGCAACATGGGTCTGGGGTCTGGACCCACCCAGGTGTCGATGGTGCCGCTTTTGGTGCACTCAAATCAAATATTACCCTCGGTGGATACGCTGCTGTTTACCACACAGCCAGGCAATCGATTCTTCTCCGGCAAGGCAGTCGCTGGCGCACAAGCAGCGTCAGCTGCCACGCCCCATATGACATGATCGCACGACGGCTACTAAGCCGTCGTCAATTGTTTCAACGATCTCCTGTGTCTTAATTAAGCTAGGGTTTGCGACCACCTCCGCTTTGCCAGAGTAAAAGGCAATGATACGGATTATCTTGAGAATAGTCCTTAAAAACTTAAGTTAGATACGACGCTATGTTTGTTTTAGTAATAGACCATAAGCAACCTTCTACATAGAGCTAGGCATCAATGTATATACAAGTACATAAGCAGACATATATATACATTTATATATATGTATATTACATATACATATACATATGGCATACGTATATATGTGTATTATAAATTACCACCAATTTATTATTTCTACGCTTAACACCAATTACAATAAAACAAAATCAATAAAATTCTTATATATTTTTAGCAAAAACAGTATGAAAGGCTCCACTGTATCTTTAGCGAACGTGGCTTGCCAAACTGTGCCAGCCAGTGGCTCTCAAACTGTATGCGCTGCAGATTGGTACCCTCGAGGGTATTCTTTGTATAGGTTGCTCTGGGTTCGCTACGTTGTTATTGCACCATCCGCCTGCCACTTAAATGGTCACATATCAAAGGCAAGCGAATCGCTTCAACGTTTAGCCTCCGGTTGGGGTGGTTTCAGGGTGGTGCAGGGTGATTTGTGCGGTTATGTGGCTTTGCTTATGCTGTTCTGCGTTGTTCCCTTTCGCGCTAGTGAACAGTTCAAACGTTTTCCAAACAGCATTGAATGTATGTATATACATATATGTATATGTATGTATATTTATATAATAATTAGTGCCACTTGACTGCAGGTCAGTTCAGCTTGAGCATCCATAGATGTGTCGAGGCAGTGTTTATTTATACTTTTTCATTAATTGAAATATAAAAAAATACTGATATTGTAATTTCGTCTTTAAATGCCATGAGAGTAGTATCTTTAAAAATAATTGTTTTTGTTTCTAAAGAAAAGGTCATAAAACAGTTAAAAGTTTTGTTAGAAAGCTTTAAGCTTTGTATTGTTTGGAGAGCATTTGCGCCATTGGTCGGTCTTGTTTTATTAGCGGGCTTAAGCTACAGTCGAGAGCAAGCTGTTACGCCATTGGTCGAAATGTTTTCGATCCGATCATCTTCGTTGTGGATGGTGAGAGCGAAGGAGCCATAAGAGCTGATACTCTTTACGCTGGACGACTCTGCAGCTTGTATGAGGCAATTTAGTCTGTGGGTGATTCTCCTCACGATCGGTTGTGCTGGAGCATGAGTTGCGACAGATGTCGAAACGATCGTGTCTAGTGTCTGGGACTATATCTTAAATTCTTGTCTTTGTCTTATATAAAAAAAATGGAAAATAATGCAGGAAGAAACAGAGAGAGTGAAAGGAAGGCATTCAGAGCGATGGGCTCATACATATGTATTTATGTATATGGATTCACGTTGAAACACATTTGATATTATGTTTTTATGAAAGCTACAAATGTTTTCTTCAAATTCTGATGGCAGCCTAAGGAAATACACAAATGTAATGGATTTATATTGGCTACCAAATAAAAAAATGGGTCTAAAAACCTAACAACATCGATTTATGCGATATAAAACATATGCTTATGCCCAAATCTGTGGACATATTTGTCATATTAATGCAATGTTTAGGGTTAAGCAATTTGTAGAGCATAAAATTATTATGGCATGTGTCATACACGAAGTAGTTGAACCCTTTCGTGTGGAGAGTACGATGCAGATAGGAGCAAAACGAGAGGAGCAGCCACAACAACAGCAACAACACCAACAACAACAGCAGCAGTA